AGAGGATCCATGCTGCGGAGGACATGTCGGGGTTGTCCTGAAAAGCCTCCTGAGTGGCATTTGATACTGCTGTTTTTGACAGAGAAGGGAGTTGGAAAGGAGCGTTTCTAAACTGCTGAAGTTTTGGGCCAACTTGCCCAGCCATTTGTATGCTACTCGCTGCAAAATATCCACCCAGTTCAAATCGTGTTTCTTGACCTTTGCTGGCTGCAGCTGCCTGTGCTCGTGCTGCTCCTGTCGGCATCCATCACGGGAGCCCTTACGCAGATCTCCTGCAATGGGGCTGTTCGCTTTTACTTGGCTTTCAGCTCTTCTTTTTACTGGGGTGGGTGAAAGCTATGGGATTGATTGATTGATTGATAGAAACTCTCCAGCCTACCAAGCTATCTGCTTGCCCTCCAATGCCATCAATAGGAAGAAGAGAGCATCGTTCCCTCCATGTTTGAGGGCTGTAAGATAGGATCTGGACGGGAGCTATTGACTTGCTTCCTTTGAGAGCCACCAAGCAGGCTCTAGGGCACAACTGACACTCGTTTCCTGTTTGCTTCTTGGTGGTATATACATCTAATGGGCTGTGATGTGTGTGCATGGAAAAGAGGAAGGGTCCTACTCCTTCTGGAAGGCAGACTTGTGGGTATGGCTGGCTGCCAAATGGGGTCCTCTACCACTGAGAAGTCTTTGACTTTCCAACATAGCATTTACAACTGAAATGTATAATATCCCCCCAAACCCAATAGGGGAATATTGCTGCGGTGGTTTCTGGGGAAGCAGTTTGGTTTCCTGATGTCCACATGCTCCTCTGGGCTCAGGACTGCCTACCCAGGCCGTCTCTCCTGACGTGTCTATGGAAGGAAGCACTGATCGGCAAGCCGGGGCTGTAGAAGAGGAACATTGCAGGAAACACTTTGTTGAAAACCCACTTTTCCGGTCAAAACCTCTTTGTCCTCAACAATGTTGATCCTGCTACAGGGGGTTGATGTAGGAGGAGCTCAAAAAGCTCGTGCTTTTAAATGTTCTTTTTAAATGAGATGAAAGGGACTGGAGCTGTAGGCTGCTCCACATTATTTCTGAGGTGCCACAGGTAAAAGTCTTGATCTTCCTGTGGGGTGCAGTGTAGGGGAGGATGGGGTGCAGTCACAATACCAAGTCCTAAATCAGCCATTCGAACTGATCCAACTCCAAGGTGGTTATTCAGGGAGCTGCTCGCAGACTGGCCAGGATATTCCATCATCCCTGCGGCCAGCTTCACGGTGAAGCCAGGTGAAACAATCCTAGTTACAGATGTGATTAAAAACCAACCGGGGCTTGGGTGGTCTGTAATCTACCTCTCTCTGCAGTGCCACTGTTTGGACCTTGCATCACTGCTCTGGTTTGGTGCCTGTGGGGCTGCCGTGCTGCTCTTGGGATGTCTTTGAAGCCAGGTGGCACTGAACTTCTCATGCTGGTACAGGATGAAGCTAGAGCTGTGACTCCTGTGCTAAGTCACTGTTGCTTGGAGCAAAGAATTTAAGTTGTCAATGCACTAAATAAAGCCGCAATCGTCCTCCGTCCTCCTGACTTTGTTGTTTCTCTCCCCTAACATCTCATCATTTTCCCTTGATTATCTCTGTGTCTGATTTTTTTTTTTTTTTTTTTTTTTTTTTTTTTTCTTTTTTTTTTTTTTGTTTTTTTTTTTTTTTTTTTTTTTTTCTTTTCTTTTCTTTTCTTTCATAGCAACGGTTTTTGTGATTATGCAGTGCGCTCTCAAACATGCACAGACCCTATTTTAGGCATATGACTTCGGTGACATCCAGCACATGGAAAGCTCCATGAAAAAAATGTATTAAAATAGCGGGGAAGGTAACGGCTTAGCTTAGTTAGCAAATGCCTCATGGCTTGCATTGCAATGCATCTCCTCTTTCTTTAGCTTTGCTGGCATGCACTGCCTTGAGGCCCTGTTCCTGGCATCGGATCCTTGAGTCCATGCAAATCCAATTTCAGGGTCCTCGCTTGATGGTTTTTGGGTTTTTTTGCTCCAATTTTAGTCCCTCTTTTAACAAAAACAAGCAAACAGATAATGCTTTGGATACACCTGCTGTGGTACCTTCATCAACAGTGATTTCCATACTTGACAGATGATTAAACCCATGGACACCGAGCGTATGGCCAGTGTGGTATGGTTGCAAAACTAGCTCCATTTATCCTAACTTCCGGCATTTCTGATTTTGGGTCCTCGTGCTCGAAGGGATCCTGCTCTCTTATATGGACATGCTTTTCTGATTGATTGCATTAGTTATGGGGAGGACAGAACAAGCTGCTTGCTCGCCAGGAGAATTCACTTAGATTTACTGGCTGGGAAGTGCAGGATGCTGCACGCAGTTGGTTTCATTTTCTCTATGGAGAAAAACTGTTTCTCAAGCCGTGGCACTCGTGAAATTTCCCATCCCATGCACCAGCCACCAAACTTCTGCAACAAACCCTTTTTTCCCCAATTCAGCCACTTGCTGCCTGTGGTGTGGGAGACTCCTCTCTGTTCCTCTGTGGTCAGAAGATCGGGGAGATCCCGAGCAGGACAGCTATGTGGCATAAGAACGAAAACCCTTTCTCAAAGACGAGAGCTTCATCAGTGCATGTCGTAATCGCTGGGTTAATGGAGGTGAAAGCACCCTGATTAAACTGCAGTAGAAAGAGGATAGCAAATATGTGATTAGTATTAATAACACCCGTCAGAATATATTATGCAAATAAAGGGAGAATAGATTATTTAGTTATTCATCTTTAACCTTTATTTCTTTTAAAGTGACCTTACCCGCCGGGTTTCTCATTACCGGCTCTGGTGGCTCAGCATATGTTTGCTTATTCTACAGCTTTCTCAATCCAGGAGCCTAAATCGGGTTGCAGCTCTATAGTTGCTGGGATGCACAAATGCACCCCTGCAACTTTTATCCCTTTATCACCCCTTTTTGCCTTTTTAGGGGCCCTTTTTAGCTCTTTGGCCACCTGCCACTCTTAAGCACCTGGCCATCAGTTTGTCTCTAGGCATAAACCCTCCTGGAGCACCCAGAACCCATGGCTGCTGGAAGAGAAGGGGCAGTTTTTCAGCAATACAGTGATGATGGGAGGGGGGCTGCATAACTCTGATGTCTAACAGTCCAGCCTTTCCTGATTTCCACCCCCTTGTTTTTAGAGGCAGCCTCTTAGCTTTTTTTTTTCCCCATCTTGAAACTTTCTTTGCACCAAACTTTTGCCATAAGCAGCAGGTCGGATTGAAGCAGGAGCCTGATGGAGCTGCTTCGTCCGCCGCACGGACCCGATTCCAGCCCATTTGTGGGGCGTGCGGAGGGCAGCAGTGACATCTGGCGGCCTCTGGATTTCACCTCGGCTGCGAATCTCTCGGAGGCTTGTTGGCATGCCCCGAGCTCCCGGCGGAGGCGTCCCGTCCTGCTGCCTTCCAGCCTCGAGGCAGCAGCCTCCGATGAAACATCGGACACGTTCTGATGTGCTGGAAGAGTCTGGTGCAAATTTGGCACTGTCCAGGATGTTGAGGGTGACCGGCTTGATCAAGGATGAGTGTCCTTTTGGGACAGTTGTTGTTACTTGTAGTGCCCCAGTCTGGGGTCGGGTCCCCTTGTCGTAGGAGAGGTGCAAACAGGCATTCTGCTGATTCTGCATTTTTTCAGGCCTCTGAGTGGCTTCAAAGGCAAAGACCCCCATGCATGCATTTTTTTCCAAGTGGCTTGAAAGGCAAAGACCCCCATGCATGAAGAAGGGTGATAGCACCCGAAAGCTTGCAAACGACTTGTTAAACCAACTCACTTGGTCTAATAAAAGATATCACATCTACCCACAGAGCCCTGTCTTGAAAGGTAGTGTCACCCCTGGGGGCTTCTCCCCTGGAAATGCTGCTGTGCCATGATGTTGTTTCACTCTCCACTTCGTTGGTTCCCAAGCAAATAGGTGCAAGTTTGCAATTTATTTCCCAGGACTGCTGACTCGGTCTGAATTGAAGAAAGTGTCTTTGTTCATACCTGCCTAACCTTCACTGATGTCAGGACAGATGCACCTGCTGAACTTAAAGCACATGCTTATATTCTCATGTCAGCTGCGACCTCACGTGGGGAGCTCCAAGCCAGCAAACTGAGAGCCTTGATGGACTTGAATGTATTGCTTAGCTGGGGCTAGACAGTCTCTCATCAGCCTGTTTTTGCTTGTGTTTCCCATGTGCCTTGCAAGCAGATGTGATGGAAGATGAGCTAGATTTGAACCCAGTTCCCGCCATGCCTTTCCAGACCTTCATGTTTTCAGGTGTTTTTCAGTGCTAACAGCAATAAACATCTCCTGCCAGCAAAATAAGGTGCTGTGCATCAGTTTTTGGAAAGCTGCTAGGGCTGGAATGGCTTTGCTTACTATCCTGTACTGCACTTGATTTGTGTGTGTGGTTTTCCTCTAAAAATATCCTGCGCTTAGTGGGTTTGGTGGTTTCTATTAGAAACACTCCCCCTCTCTTTTAACCAAGCTAAATAAGCCAGGTTGTGTAGTGCGAGATGGTGGGGTGTATTCGCTGGAGCATGGCGACACGGTTCACATGTTCATGTTTCTAAAATCCTTGTTTCTATCCCTTTTCTCCTACCAGCTCCCCGCTTTTGTACCAAGTTCAGCCAGTGCCAAAGCTACTGAAAATTGCATTAGATTTGTGTAGGAGGGATGGAATAAAAATTCAGTTTCCTACAAGCTTAGCCAAAGTCTTAACCTAACGTGCGTCTTTGTGATTGTTTGAATCCTAAGCTCTGGGATGGGTTCATGGGTGGGGGTGTGTGTTTTTGGGGGAATCCAAAAGACTCTTTTGTTTGTTTGTTTTTTGCTTGAAACCACTTTTTTTTGCGTGAAATCAAATGCCAGCGCTGAAAACAGATAGGCTTTAAAAATGTGCAGATTACAAAGCTGTCTGTGAGGATCAGGTAGAGAGAGTGCTGAGAGAGGGAGAAAATCAAGCTCTTAAATGTCTCTCTGATTCATTTCAGGGCGTCAATGGACCTCCCAACACGGCCTTGGCGGTGAGCTACGATGCAGGAGCGGTGAAAGAGAAGTACGACCGCGAGCCGACTCCTCGCCGGGACTATGAGAACGAGCTGTCCATCCGGATAGGTAGAACCGGGCTTCATCCAGGCAAGCATCCTGCCATATACCAGCAGCTGAGTTAGACAAATTGTGTTCAAATGGCGCACGGATCATAACGAACTCACTTGCGGTTTTAATCCGCTTTACCATTGCATCCGTGTCTGCGCACACCCTCTTCCCCCCGCCTCTCTTTCCCTGTCCTGCTGGGATTTGGCATCTAGCCCAAGAGTCATTGCTTCTGTTTCTCCTTCCGTTCTCAAAACGACTTGCCTGGCTGTTGCTGGGGGCGGGAGTTACTAATTATTAATGATTAGACATTTCTTTCACTGGTGAAAATGGAATGAACTTAACCCTGCAGCAAAGCTCCTTCTCGGCTGGGAGGGAGTGGGTGCCGGGGCCGCTCCTCCCTCTCGCTGCAGTGAAACCTGAGTGTCCCGTTATCGTTCTGGCCGTGATTAGCGATCACATTTGTGATCCTTTATTTTGGGCCATAATAGCACTTACAGCTGCTAAGGTCTGGACTGAAATATCCTGCTTGGGTTTATCTGTTTCTTTTTAACAGCTCTTAAAAGGTTCACAGGAACTTTTTGTGAACCTGTTAAAGCTTCCCAGTTTTAGGGTTTGAGGGGGCCCCGTAACTGAAGTGTAGTGGTGCCACCATATGACATCTAGGACTTGGAAGAACTTGATTCTTCTAAGAGGATTCGTGAAGGGTGACTTGGTGAATGGCCAGTGAATAATGGTTTCATTCGTCTTCCACTTGAGACGACCAGAAGAGCATCTGGAACAATAGACCCCAGCCCGCCCCATGAAAGGGTATGAGGGTTGATCAGGTGAGAAAGTGGCCCCTTCTTTGCACAGAGAATAGCAGCAGCCTCTTGAATTGGGCTATGTTCTTATGTGCAATTGCATTTTTCCTAATAAACAGTTTGACCCCAGAGTGTTTTTAATTCTTTTTAAAGTGTCAACCTGGGGTTTTCAAAACAGCCAAAGGGATTCAGGTGCCCAGAGCCCACGAATCTCACGGTGCCTAATGTCTCTAGGCTTCTTTAACAGGGCCAGTCTTGATCTCCAGTTTTAACCCCTTGCTTGGTAATGCAGTCTCTGCTCGTTTAAGCATTGAACCTTGGAGCTGTTTTACATCCTAGTCACAGCCGAATTTTGTAGTCTTAAAACAACAGGCATTTTTCATTAAATTGGCTGCTCAGTTTGTTGTGTGCATCTGCTCTTGGCTGTAAACAAAAACCATGCACGTGGTTTTGAGAATGGAAACTTTCCATTCTGCTCTTTTAGTTTTTTCTCCCTGGGGAAATTTCTTCAAAGGACTATGACAAATGAAAACCTTTTTCTTGTCTTTGGGGATATTTTTTTTCCCCCCTTGCTGGGATGAACTCAGTATTTTCACAAGATGCAGTGTGGTTGCCAAAATGACTGATCACAACTGGAGATGGAGAGTACCATATTAATTAGCAGCTTTTCCCAAATGCATTCAGGGTTTATCAGCTGTGTTCTTGTGAAAATCCCGGGAGCACATAATGGGTATTTCCAAAATCTAAAGGGTACTTTTTGCTTTTCTGAATTTCAGTATTGCTCACTGTTAAATTGTTGTCCTTCACTTAAATTTAGAAGTAAAAAAATAAAAATCCCCTTTAAAGGGGCAAGCTTTAAAATATACCAAAACAAAGAACTGAGAAATAAGCTTCTTGCCTTCGGAGACGGACTTGAAGATGTTGAGGCAGCAGCGTTCGGTGGAGGAGCTGGATTGTGATACTGAGTTGACTGAAAAAGTAGGCTCTTGTCAGCCTTTCCAGTCCTTCATGACCCCTGTTCTGCAAAGACTTCAGCATGTGCTTACCATTGCCTCAAGATCATGCCCCAAGTCACTGGGTATTTGCACTTCGCTGATGGGGATCTTGTCACTGCCCTCGTGAGTGGTTGCGTTGGAGGATTTTCATCAAACCTGCACAAAAGGAGACTGGAAACCCAGGCCGCAGCTTGACCTTTTGCTAGAATAGGAGTATGCACCCTGCCACACTCTTAGGCAGTTTTTGGACATTTGTTTTATTCTCTTCTTGTGTTGTCTTGGCTCCTTTCATGGCCCTGGGTTTCCGTGCTGTTCTCTCTGGCTGAAAGTGGCTGGACTGACCACTGGGAAACCCCATAGAAATGGTGAGGACCGGGTTTCTTTCCTCCCTACCCAATGCATTGCATATCACCTGCCTCCTCCAGCTGTCACTGCCCTTTGCCTCCACTCCTGGGTGTTAGCTGAAGCAACTCTGCAAACTGGCTTTAAAAGCAGCCACGTCTGGGAGTGGAGCGGTGTCTCTTTGTCTGAGCAGTTCCAGGAGACTTTATGGCTGCTTTTCAAATGTGCCGCCTCCTTTCCATCTATGCAGCGTGTTGAGCAGACGCGTTCAAAGCAAACTGCAATGATGCGTGTCTGTCTAGACTGGGGGACCGCGTGTGTGCTGGGAGCTATGTGCACAGCGTTCATAACTGGCAGCCAACTATTACTGTCCAGCCAACTATTACTGTCCAGACCATCTCCATCTGGGACTGCTGTAATTGCCCCCGCCTTACCCCCAGGCATGTAGCAACTGCCCGCGTTTACATTTCATTTGCCTTTGCAGGCATGAAATGCTCTCCTCAAAAGGGTGCAACTGGTTGCTTGCCCAGTGACTTTGCATCACTCCTGTCTTGCTTGAGCCCTCTGCATTTCACTCATAGCGACTCTTCTTTGGCCAAGAGCAGGGACAGGTCCTGGCAAGTATATACTGAAACCCATTGAGTGGTCCCCGAGCTGGTTCACCTCCTCTTTCCGCCGCTTGTTGGCTGCTGTAAGCTCCACTGGCCAGGCTTGCTGCTTCAGACCATGCAACAGAGGAGTCTGGGGAAAATCCTGGCCTTGTTTTACTAGCCTGATACTTGGTACGTGAACCCTCTCTTAGAGTTGCTTGCTGGAGACACCTTTCTGTTTGCAATACCCAGCAGGGAGGTCCCCATTCCTGTCTGAAATCATGGGAGCATAAAGTAGCCATCAGAGCATCCTGGGCAGTAACGATGCCTGTGTTCCTGGTGAACACTGAATAATGAACTTGAGTTCACAATGTTTTGTTTGATTTTAATTTTCCCTTTGGTCTCTCTGGGGCATTTGGATTCAGTCCGGGTCTCCTCACTTCCTATTCAGACCAGGGGCCATGGCCCGATGGCTTCAGAGATCACATTTTGTGAATGCCCAGCCTCTGACTACATTCACCCCAGCGCCCCGTTACTCTGGTCCTGAAGCCGCCTGTCTCCAGCTTTTCCCACTGGCCCACTTCATCTACGGTCATTTTTTTTCTTTCCAGCTTCTCTGCTTTTTGGATCAAGCTTTCCTTCATCTTGGCTTTTGCCTTCAAAGCAACTTGATTATTTTTTTCCTGAGCTGTCAGACTCCTTTAGGTTTTAATGCCGGTTATAAAATTTTATGACATCCCAGATGGTTGCAGTGAGTACTTTCAGACCACAATAAAACTGCTATGATATCTTCCAGTGGCAGACGCTGTTCAGGTATGGTCCTGCCTTGCTTTCCTGACCTTTTTCCCCATATACGAAGATCCAAGGCAGTGGTTGGGTACAGCGTCTCCTATATTTTGCTGGCCCTGGGAATAGCTAGGCAGACTATACTGATTATTCAAGTCCCTTCAGCCTGCGGTGCTGAATAAGGACATATAGGATGTGCCCCATTGATTTGTAAATCCACCCAGGAAATGCCTTTCAATTTGAGGGTCTCTGCAATGCCAGCCAAGCGTCTTGACATCAGGGCTGGGGAGCATCCCTTGCATTGGCTCTGCATCTTCTGGATATCCACGTGTGGAGACTGGATGTCAGTTCCTCTAAATCCACGACGGCTTTGGTCTGACTTAGGTTTCCACAAGGGCTTGTAGGTAATTGCGTGTGAAACCCAGAGCTGTGAATCACAGTTATAGAAACTATATATTTAACAAGTTCCCTGCAGCTCTCCTGTGTTGAACGATTCATGTTGTTCTAATTGAGGCCATGAGAGGAGGTAGGAGCATGAGACATCTCAAGCCAGGCCCTTCTCCCCCCTCTTTAATTATCCCTGCTGCAATCTTGGAGATTAGACTGTTCCCAGTGTTAAATGAAATGTTTTCTGGCAGTGCCTAGCCAAAGGGTCCTTCTGCCAAAGTGCCCGAGGTTGCTGAAATGTCAGGCATCAAATGCAGTGTCAGCACTTGGAGCTTCAGGTCTTCTGCCACCTCCAAAGGCAGCCGTTAGCTCCGGGGAGTGTGAATCGGCACGGACCGGGCTGCATCCTCAACTTGAATTCAGAGCTGCTGATGCAGGCTGAACTGGCTGCTAGAGTTGGAGCCCCCTTGCCATACCTGTGCCGTCACAGACGACTCCTCTAGGACCTCTCCAAGCTAGGGCAGTGGACAAGCAGCTAAGCCAGGATCTGGAAACACGATGCAGCTGCCAGCGGGATGCACCAGGCAGGTGGTTCCTTGTTCTCAGCCCTCGGGTGGCCTGAAATGCAACACGGCGAGTCCTGTAGGACCAGCCGGGGAAAGTGGTTCCCTTCCTTCCCCCTCCCCAGGCAACGTGGCCCCCAGGCCCAGCCTGCACGGCGGGCTGTTGCCATCTGTTCTCCTTGCGAGGCACACACGACTGAGTCCGTGACCATAAGGGGAGCGAGAATTAATATTAATCGCTCTATTTATTCTTCATGAAGCCTGAGTTGGGAATCGGCCACGGTGACTTTCCTGCTTAGACCCCTAATAACGAGATTCACGTGGGGATAGTAATTGGGAATATCCCAGCGTGCGGGCATAGTGCGTTGGAGAGGCAGTTTCATTAAACGGTATTAATGAAGCGCAGGCCTTGAGGGCTGCAGGAGCAAATTGTGCTGCCTATAATTTGCGTGCATTTCCCTTTTTTTTTTTTAAATTAAAATAGCAAAAATAACCGCTGCCAAGCCACACAATGCCTTTTCCTCCTGGGATTTCAAGGCATTTCCCAATCAGAGGAGCTCTGGCATAGACTGGTGA